AGGTCAGAGTGCATGGTTACTCATCATCAGCCAATCAGGAACTGGTAGGGCAGTTTAACCCCACGTGGGTCTCTTATGCCCATGAAACTTTCAACCAATGAATGACCTGCATTTCCTCCAAGTAAAACAGGCCAAACAGAGGCCCTGTAGAATAGTTCCCAGGAGCAGGACATTCTCGCAAGCGCGCCTGCTGGACATTTCTCACTCAGAGCTCCTCCTGAACATCCTCAGACTCAGACCACCACGTAATGGCCAGTGTGTCCGAGTGCAGGACTTTCCTGAGTTCTAGAGTTCTCGAGTCGAGGACAGAGGTTACCAGTCTTCAGAGAGCATCAGCAGCGCATCGACGCAGGAATCTCTCCCACCACGTCGCAAGCCGCACCGAGCACTGCCTGGCACTGAGCCAGAGAGCGCCGATTGGACAGCAACAAGCTTGCTACTGCTTCTCTGTGCCTGCAGGAGATCTGAATCCCCACAGATTGGATGAGTATTCAACATTCTGCATTACAGCTCGAAAATTCAATTGTTACCTCAACCACAGTTGATATCAATTTAATTCCTATGAGTGATGTACTTGCTTTTGAGTATCTAGTGTAGAAGTTGTAATCCAAGTTCAGCCTTAAAAAGCTTAAGTTTGCTCCATTTTTTGTTTCTTGTCCTACTAAGCTCTTTAATTGTGAAGTTCCCAGCATTTTGACATTACTCCGTGCATATTTTTAAACTGTTACTACTGATCACTGAATTATTACACTTGACATGAGTTAATTCAGCCTTTCCTGAATGTCTATGACAAGCAGAGCTAAACCTGTCTCTGGTGCAATCTTTATTCTGTATAAGATAAGATCACTTTATTGGCTATATACTATTTCTTGAATTAGGAATTTATCTTTCCACATACCCAAACTTGCTCTCCATGATACACACAAACAGGGAGAGAAGCTTGGGGTCAGAGCACAGAGTCAGCCATTTGTACCTCGCCCCTGGAGCAGCTGGGGTTGAGGGCCTTGCTCAGGGTCCCAACGGAATAGGATTCCTCTGCCAGGCACAGGATATGAACCGGCAACCTTCCACCCACAGGTGCACATCCTTCACCACAGAGCCAAGGCACTGCCCCCACAAAATAAACAGAAAGTAACTGCTCTCTGAAAATACTATTTTTCTTGTTCGATTTGGAAACCTTGATCGAAACTTATTTTTGATCTAATTTATTTTCTATGTGTATTTCTGTTACAGAAAAATTGTGCATTTCCAACATTGCTTTGTTTGTCGAACTTTTAACTTTAAATTTAAGCTCAGACTTCAACTTTAAATCGTACACTAATTACTAGCAGTTAATACTGATGTTTTGCTTCCCCTTACCACAAAAATATATTCGTATTGTGGCTGGGATTAGCTTTTTATCGTATGTGTCTCTCCCTCCTACTATTCAGACACTCAACAGTTAAAGATGGTGACAAGTAAGGCACCCGGGGGGAGGGGGTAATCTTCCTGCCTCCATAACTAAAAAGCCAAATAGGAGTGACTTAAGTGTTACTTAAGTGACACAGTCATGTAACTGACAGTTTGAGGTAGCCTATTGTGTGAATGTTGCTTCTTTGCAGATAGGTTAAGCTTTTAAAACGCCCCAAAGACTGATTTTTCGCTGTGTTTCATTGGTTAAACACAAGGATCACAAGCACCACCATGTTAATTGGGATGTGTAGTTTTAATTCAGTTTCAATTTTAACTGTACGTACTGTCTTCATATTTGGCCAGGGCTATAAAGAGAGGGAGCTCCGCTTTAAATGCACCCCTCTTGTGGGCGAATTTTGACCTCAAATGTTTGCAGCGTACTTAAGGAGCAAAGACCACCACCCGCCAGAGGGGAGAGACATTGAAAGCTGCTTACCACGAGGTCAAAGCTCCATTTTGCAACCCCAAAACACAAGAATAGTAGAATAGTATAGTACCAAATATGCAGAGTACACCATTGGTCACCCAGGCAGTCCTCTGGGTCACAAGAAACACCCCTTTAGTCAGAAACCTGCAGCCAAAGCCCACAGTAAATTCTGAGCTATACTGCCACATACATCATTACCTCCAAACCTTAGATGCACAGCTGTAATCCACCAACCTGACACTGAGTACAGCAACAGGAGAAGAGACCCCCATGCATGGGTGGACCTCTAAGAAAGTGGAAACAGGGAACCAGTTATTAACAGGACTGGTCTGGTTTGCCCCCATCCAGGACATATGCATCCTTGGGCTGGATTTCCTCTGGGGATCCCATGCCCAATTGTACCTTCATCAAGGATCCATTTGTCTGCGATGAGGCCCAAAGCACACACTTAGGACTGCATGGCACTCTGAAGATGCCATCCAGAAGCTGACTCTCACGCTTCCCTTCCCATACCTCCAGCAGTAACTCCTCCTCCACAAGCAGAAACCATAATGTTAAATCCCATGGAAATCCCGAAGAAGCACTACTGCACCACTGAATGTGAACCATTCTCTTCTAATCACAAATCAATGCCTAGAGTCCTCCCCGTGCCAGGCCATCAACTAATGCGCAGCATCTCCTCTAAAGGCTTCTGCTCAGCCAGAGCAATTAATAGGGGACCACACCGCATCACAGAGCCATCTTAGGGGTAGAATTACAACCCAACACCAACCTGAAGAACCCCGTGAAAATGGGGACACCTTGTTGCCCTGCACCAAGGACTGTGCACAGTTCCATAACCAGAAGGACAAGGCAGTGCAGTGCAGAATTGGCTGGCACCTCACCTGGAAGGTGGTGTTGTTTGAATGGATGGATGTCAGCCAGGAGGCCTTTGACACCCTTAAGCAGGCCTTGTGTGACACTCCAATTCTGGCTGCAACTGATCCCAAGCTGCCATTCATGACAAACAAAGATACCAGTCATAAAGTAATAGGAGCCGTCTTGTAGCGAAATGCAGGTGAGGGAGAAAGAGTGATTGCCTACTACAGCCAGACCCTGATGCCAGAGGAATGCAAAGCCTCTGCCCTGCTGGACCAAGTGGTGGTGAGCACTGCACTGATCAAGAGATTCTTCAGTAAGTTTGAGATCCACTGAGAGATCCATTCCAAGGATGGAACTTTAAATCCAGAATGTTCACCACCATATGTACTGGTCTGTGAATCAGGAAGACCTGGACTACTCATTTACCCACAAGTGAACAGTCTAGTGGACCGTGGGAGTTTAGCTGTCCCTTGTTGCCAGCTAGCATCAAAAGGACTGGGACAGGCAGCTGCCCCTGATGTTCCTGGCTGTTCGAATGGTGGTTCAAGAATCCACAGCATTCATGCCAGCCCCCGGCAGCACCTCTCTGGATCATCCACCAGCAAAAGACAGCCCTGAATAAGACACTCAGCTCCAGGAGCACCTGGAGGCAGCACACCAGTTTGCATCAAGGCAAGCCAACACAGAAGGACAGCACTTAAAACGGAACTAAAACTTCCAAGTGAAAGATCGACTGTTACATAAAAAAGAGAAAATTTGGGTCTAGAGTTCCCTCTGCATCAGAGGCTGCTGCCCCCAATTTGAAACTATGCAGCTGGGCCCCTGCACAATGATGGAACAAGTGGGGGAGATCAGATACAGGGTGTGCATGCCCTCCACCAGGACCAGATGGCCCCCTACCAAAAAAAGCCCACTCGACCGCCAGTCTCTACTCGTTCTCCTAGTCTGAAGCCCTCCAAACAGGTGGACCCAACAGGGCAAGACATCCTGGAAGCAGCAGAGGCAGACTCCATGGCCTTCCCCTTCACCCAATATCAGACCACCAGGGTTCTAGTCTGAGCATCTTACAGCCAGGTCCACTTCCTGATGGAGATGGTCAGCCCATTGCTGGGACTTTGTTCTGTTCCTTTCGAATGAGGAATGGCGGAGTTATTTAGCATTCCACTGCACCCAAGACCTTGGACTGTGCCATTACACCCTTATTTAATCTGATGATGATAATAATAATAATTCCTTATACTTATATAGCACCCAATGACGCCTTTTCTCTCACAGCTTCCCCACGCTCCCCCCATACCAAAGAAGTACAAGCCTAGCTTACTTTCTCTTTCACACACATTGCAGACTATGCTATGGGAGGCTGCATCCCTTTTTCTCTCTTTGCACCTGATCTCTTTCCCTCCTAATCTCTCCCATGTGAATAGCATATTCCTTTAACCTAAAGGACTCCTTGCCTAGTGAAGCTGCATATCATACACTTACCTGCCAATGAAAAAAACCTACAGCAACCTGCCTATTAGACAATACACACTTAAAATAATGTATTTTATTTTTTACAATTCTGTTAATAAGGGGTAACATTTAAGCATGTTCAGAAACCTCTTTTGTAGTAAGCATTTTCAGCTTGAAGATAAAGCAAATTAAAGTTGCAACAAAAACTATCATATCAACCTGAAAAAGAATACGACATGCATATCAGTTCTCTACTGCAGTAAAAAGTGACAAGAGTATACATTTTTAGGGTTAAAAAAGCACCAGAGCACATATTTACTTTTAGAGCGAAATCAGCAATAAAGTTTCAGCTGTGACTCAAATTATTTATATTTAAACAAATTTAAAGATAAACAAATTTTAACATTATGTGAAATATGCCTTGAAGAAATGACTACCTGTTCGTAGTTATTGAAATATTTAACTGTCCAACTACTATAAAACTTCCTTGCGAAGCCCAGGGGCTGTTTTCTGCAGCGCTTTGTTTACAGCATGGTTGTTTACATGGTTACCTCTAGTTTACAGCTATTATAGTCGTTGAAACATTCAACAAGTTATACCAAAAAACTCTTTGTTGTTTTTCCTTGTGAAAAACAAGTGAAATTAAAAAGATAACGCCACTTTAGGGAATTATATTGATTAAAGAGGATCTGAGCCCATTTTAAGATTAAATGTTTGAAAGAAAGAATTCTAAAATAAGCCTTAAGTGAAAATTAGGAAGCAATGTTGCATTATACTGAAATGTAAATATTATTAAAACAAAACTCACCTGTTTGTTAAATTATACAGTACCAACGCAATCAAGCACGATGTCACTGCTGCTACACTATTGTCCCAGTCCACTTGTTATGCAAACGATCAAAAAACGCCACCAGGAGGTATCGTGTATTTCTTCTAAGGATTTCCTACAATAAGAAGCACGATTCTTAGAAAAGTAAAACCTTATCTGTTTCTTCCAGTACAATGTAAATACCAAAGGTAGGAGTATAAAGCGTAACAGTAGACGCTGGCTTACATTAGCCACACTTCTTTCCTATATAGATTGTAGACTTCGTTCTGCGCGTGACGTCACGGGTTGTGCTGCTGAGTCATGGACATTTTTGTGGGTAAAAAAAACAGCTTTGTGGGTGAACTACCGCTCAGAGCGGAACAAAGGATGGAAGCAGTGTTGGTTGGTATGTATTATAAGTAGCTGCTCGTACTATAATCTCAGAAGTAGTGGATAGAATTGAATTTTCTTGTGTTTCCCGAACTTCACTGACGATTTGCCTATAATGTGGTTTCTTGACAATTGGCACTCTATAGTCGAAATTGTCTTTGAAGTATATTAAATTACATCAAAACGTTGTTTGTCTTGACAAAAATGTATACCAACAAGCTATTCTAATATAAAAGTTAAAAAATAAATTAATGTATATTCTAATAACTTTTCAACAGAGGCTAAATAAAAAAAAAACACTGAGAACAGTTTTGTATGTCATGTACATTTCCTGGTTATGAAATGGCAGTATGCTGACAATAGTAGGTTTAGTACATGCTGAAAAAAAGAAGAAAGAGAACACAACGTTTGGGCCGTGGAGCCTTCTTCACCTATTACTTGTTTCTTTGCAGCCTACGCATGCTGACGCAGCTACCCACCTGAACTGCTGACAATAGTGTCTCATTCAGTAAGTCTAAAATGAGACATGCTTAATAGGCACAATCAACATTTTTTTTATTTTTAACATTGGAAACAATCTAGTGCTGAACTTTCCTCCTGTAATTAGTACAGGCAACTCCTCCTTTGGTATATTTTAATAGTAGCATAAATATATTTAATAATAATATATCCGCATGAATAATTGGGGCTTACAAATGATATTTACATATATTTTTTCCAATCAGTTTTATTGTGAACTCACTTGCTCAAACAGTTTTTTTTAAAAGACAAACTTTATTACAGTATTTGCCTGCAGATATCTTAAAGAACCTGAAATAAGTTGCTTGCATAACCATTCAGACCCCTGTGCGTCTAGCAGCCCTAAGTTTAAAAGGGTTAAAGAAATTGCTCTAACAGGGATATAATTGGCTTACCATTGGCCTTGAAGTGTTTGTCACATTTACTGGATAAAAACCTTAATCTGTTTAGGAATTGTTGGTCATGCAATTGTAAATGTAGTGTGCTCTCTGAAGGCACCAGTTCTGTAGAGTTTGGGCATTTACTGTGACAATTATTAATTGTAGCAGTAAATCACAAAATTGATTCTTTTGATGGCTTTAGAATCCAACCATGCAACATAACTCAAACAACGCACACACACAGGTACTAATACACGAGGATACATTTATTAATACATAGAATATGCATGTAAAACTAACAGATCTTATCGAGAGGGTTATCAGAATACAAAAGGTATATATTCAGTCAGTTACAAAGAGTTACATATATCAAGAGGACATATGTTCAGTATATCATTCATTTAGACCGTTTCGTAAATGAACTTGGTTACAACTTCTACATTAGATACTCAAAACAAGTACATAACTCTTAGGAATTAAATTGATATCAACTGGTTGGGATAGCAATTGAATTCTCGAGCTGTAATGCATTGAAGTTGAATACTCATCCAATCTCTGGGGATTCAGATCTCCTGCGGGCTCAAAGAAACAGTTGCAGGCTGTTGCTGTCCAATCCGCGCTCTCTGGCTGTGTGCCAGGCTGTGCTGTGCGGCTTGCGACGGAGCGCTGCTGATGCTCACTGACCGGCTAGTTACTGTTGGCTTTAACTAGCAAAGTTTGTGCACAGGAGAAAAGATGACTGTGAGTCCCAGCAAGTCAGGAAGAGGACAGGTTCGTTCCTGATGAAGAGCTAGTTCTGAATAGTGATTCAGCTGTCCACAGTTCTGACCTGTTCACGAGGCTTGCTGCTGGTGCTAACCTCTGGTGGATCCTCTGGTTACTCTCTGGCAACCTCCACTCTAGACTCTTAGAACAAAGGAAAGTTTTGGCACTCGGACACACTGGCCGTTCCGTGGTTGTCCGGGCTGAGTCTCAGGATGGTCAGGAGGCGCGCTGCGAGAATGTCCTGCCCTTGGGAGCCTTCTGCTCCTAGGCCGTCCTGCCCTGGAATTCTCATTTGAATTCCCTTTAGAATTGTTGAATCTGAATCTGAATCTTGTCTGAATCCCTTCCAGGCTCTCTGTGCTGCCTGTTTTTACCTGGAGGAACTTCAGCTCATTGATTGGCTGAAAGTTCCATGGGTATCAGAGTCCCACGTGGGTTACTCGGCCCTACCAGTCCCTGATTGGTTGATCAAGGTGAGATATGAGTCACTTACTCCTGACACTTAGGAATGCAGTCCAGATGTCCAACTGGCACTCCCTAGACAGATAGGCGCCAATGGATGACCATTGATCTTGATAGCCAGGCTTAGCTAAGTGCATCCCCCTTTGGGAGCTGTCCTAGGAAACCTTATCAAAGGAAATCTTAAATCAGCCTGCATGAATAGTTTCTCTGTGGCTGCACTACAGAGATGAACAGAGAGATGAGGCCTAATTTGGGAAAGTTTAGAAACACTTAATTCTGCCTTATTAATAAGCCTTGCCGCTACACAATGAAACTGAAGGAAATGTACAAAAATGAACACTTAAGATTATTCTATGGAAGTTAAAGATAAAGTGCAAAAATACATAGATTAGTTAATGGGTACATAAACTATTATTGTTAGGATATCCATTGAGCCCTGTTGTCTCAGCAATCAAGAAGTGAAGTGCCTAAAAAAAGCCTTTTCTCAAAACTCAGCATCAGAACACGAAGGGGACTTTTGAAGAAAGCCACTGAGAGGTCAAAAATGTGTTGTGCAAATCTAACACTGCCCATGTCCCAAGAAACACTTTCCATACAGTGAAGTATGGTGACAACGACATCATACTTTTGGGATGCTTCTTATCAACAGGGACTGGAAATCTTGTTAGAACTGAAGGAAAATTGGTTGGAGTAAAGTAAATGACCCTTTCGTGTTTTAGTTTATTAAGTGCGCCTGCCCCTGTTTTGCCTGCTATTATTTAAGCCAGGCGCTCAGGCTATTCCTCACTCAGCATTGGAAGATGGACATCACAAGGCTTGCCTATTCCCCAGGCTCGCATGTAGCCCAAGGGCTGGTCTTATTCCCTGACATCCTGAATTGTCCACAAGCTAACTTCACCTACCACCTAAGGACACATTTAACATAGCAACATAGTCCAATACCTATTATCATAACAACAAGAGAGACCCTGTTACGTGTCACTTTATCTTAAATAGCTTGTTCACTAGTCCCAGAGATTTTATATAGCTTCTTTACTTCGACAAATAACCTGGCTGGCTGGCTTTCCTGTAGTATCAGAATATAGAAGGAACCTTAGTTCTTTTTCACTGCTGTGGAGGGGATGAATTCTCATTAGGGATGGTGAAGTCCCAATTATCTATCTTCACTTTCCTTGTAACTAAGGAAACTGTATCCCTGGCAAACTCCCCAGAGTAATTTGTGTAATTACCCTCTCACACGCAATATTCTTGGATTGCACCTTGAACTACCATGCAAGATACCTAGGGATGTTCTGAAATTTAGGCCCTCTCTAACCTCCCTTTGCATGTCTTTGTAGGCCTAAGCTGCATACTACAAGCCACAAATAGTAAGACGTACAGTATATTCAACATCGGCTTGGATATTGATGTCATTTTTAAGGGAGTTAGTACTTCCAATGACTTCCACCCCAGATCTCCAAAAATGTATACTTCTCTTACCTAATCCCCCATTGTTATGTGCCAACATTCCCCTGGCGATTTCCTCCTGGGCTATTGTTAAATTGCAGGACCAATTTTGCAACATTTCATTTAATGGCTCCACAGTGATATTAACCTCCATGCTGGCCATTATAATCTGCTTATAGAGAGGTTTAGTTTTTCCTACAGGCATGACCCCCACTTGATTCCCTACCTCTAGAACATCTTATATTTTCTTCTCCAAAGGCGGTTAAATTAATACAATTTGTATATTGTTCCTCTGTCTTTCAGCAGAGCTGTGAGAATCTATCTGTCCACAGGACAGGAATAGGCCGATATTGAGGGACCAGCAGCAGCAGGAACTTCTCTATTATATCTTGATGGTTTTTCATGTGTTTATATTATCTGTTTAATTTTTGTTTTACTTATGGATAGTACTGAAGAAAGATGTGAAGACGGGGGTTTGAATTTAATCTTTTCTGTAGGAGGTTTAGACTTCTAAGTCACAAGCTGGGGTTTATGGCAGGCAAGGGGGTTAACTGATGAGGATTGCAGATGCAAGCTAGGA